GTCATACTCCAGTAACTGCTGAGCCTACTATTGGATAAATACATCATTTTATGGAACATTGATTGTTCTATAAACCCAATGGAGTATTATGCTCTATGATCAAACCATTTAGATTGTGTGTAGAGCACAGAAAATGCCATATTCAGGATGGTACTAAAAGTGCCATTTGTGTATTTTATGGGTGTCATTACAGGGAAACTTCTCTCTGTAGGCCCTGTTTACTGCAAAAATTTTTAGTCTGTAATGACATTTTTCATTCACAACGTATGCCTTCAAGAAAGGGGACCCTTGTTTTATTTGTTTCATTCGAGTTTACTGCACAAATTCTGTACATTTTAATTAAATGTAAGCTTAACAAAAGCATAAGGTATTTATTCTGTAGGAAAAATGACAACAGTAATGAAAGACCAGCACACACACAAAGAGGAAGTTGTCAGGTGCTCAGCCCCATTTGCAGCCTCCCAGAAGCACAGCAGACAGCAGAACGACAGAGCCGCTAGCACAGTTTTGGGGAGCGCGAGTCTCTGCAGCTTAACTCCTGCATGCCTGCATAGGAGAGTTTGTGTTTTTCTGCTCTGGAGATGTTTGCTTCAAGAAGAATGGAGAAGACAGAGCAGCAGCTTCATGTAGTATTCTGAAGAAGTGAGCCTAACTTGAAGTCAGTTCCCTGAAAACAAAGCTTCAGACACCCAAAAAAGCCCTTTCATTTCAACCAAATTGTAAACTGTCAGTGCATTTAGCTGTGAGAGGGAGCGTTTTATCTTTGTGCTCATGAAACCCAACAAGTTGTTAAATTGGGGTTTTGTGAGCAGGTACCAGGCTGCATTTTAACTTTGTCTATACTTTCTATACAAAGCTGCTTGCTCCCTACTAGAAACAGATCCAAAAAAGACTGAATTTAGGCACACTATTTGATTAGTTACTATTGTCATACTGACGTCTAATGTTGTCTTTAAAAAATGTAAAATGTAATAAAAATAATGTTGGGCATCCATGCTCCGTTAACATTTGTGCCATTTTGGAGTTATAACAGTGACTGGGCAGTTCAGGATAAAACCTGTACAACATTCCTGTTTTCCAAATACTGATCCATTTGGTCATCTGCAGTGGTGAGCTGTACCGTTCATATTTACAAGAAAGAGCTAAAAAATTGAAGTATATATATGTGCCCAGTAAATTCTTGATCATAGCCCAGCTGGAATTTAAAGTTACAGTAGAGATTCACATTAGTTTAAATGACACTTGAACTTCTGCATAGCTCAACATTAATTCATTATGTTTGAAATGGAAGAATCTTCAGTGGGTGAATCTTTTTCAATCTGATTGAGGCTGTTACATTTTATAGGTGCTATTTTTCAAAGCAGTACTGACAGCACTCGAAGTTATTAAATTGCTGAATCAAAAGATGGACCTGCAGTCGCATTTATGAACTCGTGCTGTGCAGAGGTTAAGATGTTGTTTGTGTTAAGCTTCATCACACCCACACTGACAGCAGTATTTACCCATGTAGTTTACTTTAATGGTCTGGAAGTGGCTTAACCCACCTCTGGATTCAGATAAATTCAGTAAGTAGTTCAGAATAGCTTAATTATCAGTGCTGCATGGGATTCAAAGGTAATTCTACACCCAAGAGATTTTCTGTCTAGTAGCAGAGTGAAGAGCAGAACTGCTTGGACTCGAGCATGCAGCATTTCCTTCAGAGACTACCTAAGAATAGGATGCTTGCTCTCTCTTTCCCAACTACAGTAGTTGCTCCTGTTGCTTAAAGTAATGGCAGTATGTCCTTTTCTGTAACTAATGTGGGAGGTAAATGATCTGAAGTTTTGCCTTTGTTTTTGTGTCCTTACTTCCTTTTTCAAATTCTGAATTAGACTAAAAATGGCCTTGAAATACGAGAATGGACGGAAATAAAGTTTCAAGTGTAAAGAGGGCAAGCAAAAAATTGCATCCTAGGTAGCAAAGCGGGGGTCGGGGAGAAATTGCATGCATAGCAGAGGAAAAATCTGTCAAGTGCAACAGACAAAGATCTGGAGGCCCTGGTGGATGGCAGATGGTCCAGGGGTTGGCCACATTGTGCCCAGCTCAAACTTGGGCATAAATGGAGTATGAATTTGGGAACTCTGTGGTGCTACACCCTCATCAGCCTTTCTGCTCACATCTCAAGCCCCATTCTGACTTCTTTGAGGAGAGAGAATTTAGAGAGGATTAAAGTTCAGAAGATAACCATGAGATTAGGTTAAGGCATGTAGACAGTTAGTCAACTCTTTCTTTCTAGGATCTGTATTCCTTAACCTGATCACATGCTGGTCTTCTAACTCTAATCTTCCCTGGGCAAGATGCCAGACCCAGGATAGGTGAAGGGTTGCTTCTCTTTGTAAAGCAGGAGGAAGGTGAAAGGTTCAGCAGGAAGGAGCCTTCCACTGCAGATACGTGCCCAGGCAGATCAAGCTAGATGCACTGGAGCAATTCCCTCAAACTCACCATGTGCATCCATGACCTTTGGAAAGTCTTCAAGCCCCCCTGGGGCATGAGTACCACAGTCCTAAGACCCGTGACTGCTGCCACCAAGCATCGTGCAGTAGTGTCATCAAGGGGCTGGCTAGTTACTGCTAGGTAGCCTAGTTAGTGCTACCCAGTTGTTTTCTGTCCTTGCTGGGGGGTAAACAAGAGAAAACAGGCATGCGCTATAGTTAGGGAATTCACTGAGCTGGATTCATGGACATTTTGGGCCCTCCTCCAGGGAAGGGTGGTTGACCTTTAAGATGTGATGGTTTCCTTCTGCCTGGTTCACCCCTGCTGTATGCCATCCGAGCAGCACGTGCTCACCAGAGGGTTCCATAGGCCCATGGGCGCTGAGTGAACGAGCGGGACGGTCTTCTAGTATGGGGCGAGGCCTGGTCAACCTCACAGGTCTTCTCTTGACCTATGATCCATGACCTTTCTAAGAGTCACACTCTAGAGAGTCCCCTGAACAAGAAGAAACATTCATGAATACTTAAGAGTTAACTAATACTTTCAAACTCAGGCCACTGTTCTACAGGATGGGTATGAGCTGGGCCACACCCTCCAGGTAAAAATGACTTGACTTCTGCCGATCCTGCTTGAGATATTGTACCCTTGGAAAACAGGCCTCACTGGGGTCTGTGCTCCGCATTAACTCAGTGTTGGAAGAAGTGCTATCTTGCAGAACACCATCAACGTGGTGAGCAGAATTGTTGTCCTTATTTTGGGGGGATGCTACCAATAAATAATCTCTGACAAATCTTAACCCTTTTTTCCCTCTGGTAAGAACAAAGTATCCGCTGTTAGAAAAGTGACCCACATTGAAGAGAGTGAAGAGGAATATCTCAAAAACTGGCTGCTGTTGAGATGTAGAGTATTCAATGTAGAGCATCTAGATCATTCTCTTATTTTGGAGGAAGGTGGTGATAATAAGAAAACTGGTCAAAAGTTTGAGATTTAGAGAAGAAAACAGATATCTGTTTAGAGTCAATCTCTTTTTTATGAAAATAAAGATTAGAGTTTCCAGTCACGTTTCACCCCATCCAGTTAGGAAACAGCGTGTGTCACCAAGTCAGGGTGACATTGAGGTGGGTGTGAGCCTGGGCCTTGCCTGGGCCTCTGTCCTCGGGCGGGCTCAAAGCACTTACCTGCCAGCCCTGGGTGCCCAGTGGACTAACAGCAGACACAGGGTGGTGGGGGGACTCCAGGCACAACTACAGCTGCCCCTCCTGGCTCCTCTGTCCTCTCCTGTTCCACAGAGAGCTGCTTAATCGTCTCCTTATTGCTTCTGCCCTGTCTCAAGGGCTTATCATGGTGTCTCCTAAAGATTCAGTGTTTTCACTAAGAGAAATTTGGGGCTGGCATTGAAGATCATGCCCTCTTTTACACTTCTACAATTTTCCTGCTTAAAAACATTCAACAGGTTCCTTCTCCCCAAAGCCCACAGCCTATATAGCTTAGTACAGGGTATAGGAGGCCTTGGGCAGCAAGATCTGAGCTAAACTATCTCATATCTTGAAAGCTCGAGCCTTCAGCCACCCCAGAGGACCCACAGTTCCCCAAATGCCCCATGGACAGCCCAGCCTCCTGTCTCTGCCTAGGCCAGTGCTGCCTCCGTTCTAGAGCTTTCTCCTCCCAGCCCTCGCTGGGCAGCTCAAGTCTTCTTGTCCCTGAAGAGAGGGTTTGAATGTTATTTCTTCATAGATCTTTCCCTGAATACTGTCCAACAGCCTGAATGTGTCACCTTACTGAGTATCCAAGTCATTCCCCAAACACATCTCTGTTGAACACTGCTCCCTGGTAGGCACTGTTCTGAGCCCACGGTAGACAGAGAGGCACAGGAGGGAGTTGGGCTCTCAGAGCTCAGCTCTCAGCTCCACACGGTCACACTCCCTTCCATGTCCCTGAGTGGCCGTGTCCCCAGCAGAGCACTGAGCACAGTGCCTGGCACACGGTGGCTCACCATGGCCGCCACAGCAGGGCTGTCTTTTCACCTACGTTTAGTGCCTGGCACGAGTAGACACCCGATAAATATCTGTTGCATGAAGCCTTCAGCTGTGTTCACTGAGGATGTGTTTTTTAATTTATCATGCAAGGCTTTCATTATTTTTGCTGAATAAACAAATATACCATATATATTTGGACATTAAAAAAAGATTGTCCTTTGGGTTAAAAAATACTACTGTTTACTGTTTGCTGAGCCTTACTGAACGTACTATTAGAAATGCAGGTGGGAGGGGTGGGGAGGGCACTCCTTCCCCAGGACCTGGATGCTCAGGGCTGCATCCGGACAGGCACCCGGCGGCCTGGGAAGGAGCAGACACACATCCCGGCTTCCGGCACTCCCGGCCCGCGTGGGCTGCCCACAGAGCGCTGGCAGCTCCTTTGAATAGAGGTTCACCGTGTGTCTCTGTTGAGGTGTTAAAGCTTTTACAGGAGGACGGTCTTACTCTTAGGCGGAAAAACTTCTAGCTCTAACTGGTCCTTGTCTCCCCTAGGCATTGTTTCCAAGTCCTACGAATGCCGTCTGAAGGGACAAGGAGCCACCTTCGTGGAGACAGACAGCCCCTTCACCGCGGCCGCGCTGGTGGAAGAGTCTCCAGTCCAGGAGAAATCCCCTCGGCACCGCAAGCGGCAGGCCCAGCCCCCCGAGCAGGCGCAGCAGGTCATCATCATCCAGGGCTACCATGGGGAGTTTGCCCTGGACGCCTCCATGGAGGAGACGGCTGCCGCCACGCTGCAGACGCTGGCCATGGCCGGCCAGGTGGCCAGGGTGGTGCACATCACCGAAGACGGGCAGGTCATTGCCACCAGTCAGAGCGGGGCGCAAGCGGGCGGTGTGGTGCCTGGGCCCATCCTGCCCGAGCAGCTGGGGGAGGGAGCCACGCAGGTGGTCGTCGTGGGTGGTTCCATGGAAGGTCACGGCATGGATGAGTCCCTCAGCCCTGGCGGTGCTGTGATACAGCAGGTGACCAAGCAGGAGGTTTTGAATCTGTCGGAGGCTGGGGCCCCTCCCCACGACGCGTCCTCAGCCCTGGATGCGCTGCTGTGTGCAGTCACTGAATTAGGCGAGGTGGAGGGCAGGGCTGGGCCCGAGGAGAAGGGCAGGCCTAGCCCCAAGGACCTGCTGATCCAGCTGCCAGCCCTGGATGCGCTGCTGTGTGCAGTCACTGAATTAGGCGAGGTGGAGGGCAGGGCTGGGTCCGAGGAGAAGGGCAGTCCTAGCCCCAAGGACCTGCTGATCCAGCTGCCCGGCCAGGAGGCGTCCCACACGGCCACCGCCCCGGAGGCCCCGGAGATCCAGGTGTTCCGAGATGCTCAGGAGAGCCCGGCCGCTGTGGAAGTGCTGACCCAGGTCGTGCGCCCTGCGGCTATCCTTGCCCCCCAGGAGCGCGCACAGGTGGCTTTCAAAAAGGTGGTCCAGGGAGTGCTCCAATTTGCCGTGTGCGACACAGCTGTGGCCGGCCAGCTCATCAAAGATGGCATCACGCAGGTCATCGTGAACGAGGAGGGTGCCGTGCACATGGTGGCCGGGGAGGGCTCTCAGATCGTCATGCAGGGGGCCGAAGCCCGAGGACTGCGGGTGCAGGACGCGCACGTGGGCCTGCTGGAGCCCGGCAGCGACATCTCGCAGATCATCGTGACGGAGGAGTTAGTGCAGGCCATGGTCCAAGAGTCCAGCAGCAGCTTCCCCGAGGGGGCCACGCATTACATCGTGACCGAGTTGCCTCCGGGTGTGCAGGACGATGCTGGCGTGTACTCCCACACTGTGATAGAGGCGGCGGACTCTCAGGAGCTCCTGCAGGCCGGGGCCGCACTGGGCGCCGAGGCCCTGGCCCCAGGTGGTGCGGAACAGTTGACCAGCATGGTCATTTACACCCAGGACGGCTCCCCGGCGGCGACAGTAATTCAGAGCCAAAGAGAAAGCAGCGAACTGCAGGAAGCGTGAGGCGCGCGTGGTCACTGGGACCCAGAGCAGGTGGGCGTGTCCAGTCTGTGCCGGCTGTGCTCCCTGAACATCCTTCCTAGCCCTCCAAAGTGACGGCGACGTGCGCTACCATGAAGGTGCGGATGGCAGGTAGCCCGAGCGAGAGCGCGCTGCGGAGGCAGCGGGAAGGCCGGGCTCGGTGCTGGCAGGCCGCAGGGCCTGTGCGCATCGGATCCTGTGCCCCTCGGGTCTTTCTTTAATGGCCTTTCTTCCCGTGTGCTGAGAAGCTAAATTCGTCTGTTGGTTCTTCCCCCCCACAGGTGTTTTCCCACTTCAGTTCTCAAAAATTATGCCCCAGGGGTGGAAAAGTAAGAATGTATCTTGAGGCTTGGGAGCATCTGCTCTTGCAGACCAGCATGTAACTGTTTTAACATTTTATTATATATCTGGTGGAAAATTTCGGCTACAGTTATTACCATCTTGAAGTAGCTCACTCCCATTGTTTTTTTTGTTTTTTTTTTCTTTGAAATTTTAAGATAACATTGTTCCTAAACCAAAGGATGCCTGTTAGTTCATTTCATATATAAGTTTCCTCTCTTCACACATTTTAGGTGTATTCATTTCTCGGTTGCATTCTGCATAACCTGTGGTTAAGAAAAGCCTCGAAGTTTATATTCAATTAAAATATACCTTGGTTAAGACAACCCACTGCTTCTAATTTTGACTTAGTTTCATACGGTAAAGTATATATGAAATGTGCACTCTGGAAAATATTGTTCACATTGATAATTTGCTTTTTATAACAAAGGTTTGTTTGTATTGATATCATTTTTGCAGGATTTATTTGAGATTTATGTCAGCATGAAAAAGCTGACATTAAACATTAACAGACAAACTGCCCTGTAGCCCTTGCCTCGACCTGCATTGTGTGTTTAGCTGTGGATTCACTGCAACTGTCGAATGCAAGTTTATGTTGCAATAATTTGTTTCTTGAAATGATTGCTCTTATTTCTTTTCCAAAAGTGTAAAATAATCCCCTCCCTCAAATGCAAAGTTTGTTTTTGTTCTGTTTCTGTTTTCTTTGAAATAAAATGATAGCATTAAAAGATAATGCTTTTTTTTTTACATTGCAAGCAGCCAGTCAAATTGGGAGCTGCGACAACCGAAGGGACCACATCTACCCCAGCTGGTCATCTCTCCCCTTCGCCCACTTGCAGAGGACACTGGTTTCCAACGTGCTTGAAATAAAATGATAGCATTAAAAGATAATGCTTTTTTTTTTACATTGCAAGCAGCCAGTCGAATTGGGAGCTGCGACAACCGAAGGGACCGCATCTACCCCAGCTGGTCATCTCTCCCCTTCGCCCACTTGCAGAGGACACTGGTTTCCAACGTGCATCCCTTGCAGCCTACTGCTGTTTTCTAAATGTTTGGCAAAGGCCTGGGTGCATTCTGGTGACAATAACATATTCTATCATGGTTAGTATCTAAAAATTGTGAAGAAAAGACATGAGAGAAAAGGGAGATGGCACCTCCTTTGTCTAAACAAAAGTACCATTTAAAATCTCTTCCTAGAGGACGGTGTGGGAAGGAGCCTCTCTGAGGAGCTGTTCTCTCCTTCCCTTCCTTCCCATTGCTGAGTCTCCTGTCCGCTCCAGGGCCACCTCCTTTCATACAGCCACCCCTCCAAAAGAATAAAAAGTAAAAGGCAAAATTTCAGGTCTGACACTGAGATTCATAATTAGCTGAGTATGACTTGCTCATGTTTCTTAAAAATGGCAGGGCTATTCAGTTCCTCTTAAACACTGTCTTCAGCAAACAGTGACAGGATCAACTCCCGTTTGTTATCAGGATAAAGGTGACCTTTACAAAGTGATGGCCCTCTCTATGCTTCTCATACATGTTAAAGAAAAAGCGGGGGAGGTGTTTTTCAGTGGAAATATTTCTTCTTGATCATTTCTCCCTTAGCAAGAGCCCTGGGGCCCTGCGGCCTGGATGCTAATTCCTGACCGTGCTCAGCCCTGTATGGCTAACCTTTCTGCTGCAGACCAGGGTGTTGACACTGACATGCTGCAGTTTACCATTTGTGATTTATTTAGGATAAATATGTCTCAGGTGGCATTTAATCCTTCATAAAACCAGTGTAGCCTGCAGTGTCAAACCAGCAATCACGTTGTATGCACAATGAAAAGAGCAGGCCTTTGCATAAAAAAAATTGTACAGAAGGTGTTTCTAGGCTTAGAAGGATTGCAAAGGCTTCACTAAGCTATTGTATCCTGTAATTACCTATAGAGCTGGGTTAATGTTACCTCTCTTTTCTCTCTCATTACACAACTACTGGAATGTAAGGGGGTTTAAGAAGCACATACACAAATGTGTGCCTCAGAATAATGAGGCATGGCTGGTTGTGTGAGCATGGGACATTCATTGCAGCAGGGATTGTCCATAGAGACAACACGGGCGAGTTTATGGATTTCTTTGAGGTTTTTTCTAGAGAATACGATAGAATTTTAAAGGAGTTAAAAACAAAGCAAATGAAATATTTACTTGGAGACTGTAATCCAGAAAGGCCACGGTCTTATCAAACTGTGGCTGACTAAATGATGGAGCCTCAAGGACACTTGGCATGCCAGGAAGCAGATTGCCCAAGTTGACGTACAGAGACGGCTTAGAGTCCAACTTTTGGGCAAGTTTCACTATACATGGTGGAGAGTTACAAGTGAGATAGCAATTTTCATACAAAGGGAGTTTTAGCCCCATAAGGACACTTTAATGAAACACTGGGACTCAAACATGGATCTTTCTGGGATGCCTCAGGCCCCACTGAGCAGCAAGGTGGAGGGAGAAAGGACAATCACCCCTTGGCACATATTCTGTGCACCACAGAACAGGCAGGAAAACCTGTGTCGCCTGGTGTAGAGCACATCCTGTTGCTATTTGGTTTGCTTTGAAGAACCAAGTAAATGTGCTAAGACTGTATCAGTGTAGCTCTGAAAACCCCTCTGTCATTTATCAGCTCATTTCAGAAATGGGAACCCCAGAGTGTTAAGGAAAAACCAGAGCTGGACAGTAGTTATAGCGGGAAAAACAGTTTATTCGGGACAATTGCAGTGGGGGAAAGAGACCTCAATACAGAACTTGCTCAATTCTGAATACAGGCAGAACGAGAGCAGATCTGCAGCCCAAGAGTGAATTGTGGGGCACACACTGGTGGGCGGCAGAGGCATCACAAGTAAGAGGGGATTCAGGCTAAACCAAGCTAACAGGATTCTTGCTGCAGGCAGGCCGGGGAGCTCAGACATCACCTTGAGGGTGGGGGAGAAGGGAAGTTTGAGGAACCCAATCAGATGCTGAGGGTGGGGGATTCCAGCTAAACTGACATCTCAGGGTTCTTGCTAAAACTAGATGCTACAAGGACATGCACATGTGAAAGTGCCTGGGAAAGGTTCAGACCGAAGTTTGGCCAAGCAAAGAGACTCCGTCGAAAGTCCTAGAATCAACTTGCAGGGCATAGGAGGACTCCATGGAGGCCCAGCATCTGCAGCCACCACTCACCCCGTGAGAAGCAAGGGCACCGCCACCCACACACACAGCATCTATGAAGTTCCACGACCCATGGACAACATTTGCATCTCGAGTCTGTCCAGCTTCTCGTTTTCCTAAACACGCAGATGAGGTAGTGGCATAAGGAAAGAATTGAAGAGCCAGCTTAGAATTCTCACCCAGAGTTACTTCTAGGAAGAGAATTAGGAAACAAAAAAGGTCACTCATTCAGCAAACTGAAAAAGAGCTGGAAGTTTCCACTGTTTAATATTAGCCCATACTTTAAGAGAGCGCCAGCTCGCTGAAGCAGCCTGCTCCTGCTCCAGCTTGGTGAAGGATACTATTCGTTTCTAACTCCTCTAGGGCCATATCATTTTACAGGAGGAAAAAAGTTAGCTCGGATGGCAGTTATACGTTTCGGAAGCACCTTCTAATCAGGCATGGGTGATTCATTATTAGCTTCAGCAGGCGATCCATCTGACATGTAAGGGGAAAAAATTAGCAGCTGTCACCGCGTGATGAGTTAATTTCCTGATGGGCCTGACACTGAAAAGCCATTTGGAGACATGGCAAAAGCTGACAAGGAAACCTGGCGCTGCTTTATAATTGGAGATAAAGAAAATGCAGAGAAAGAGGCCGGGGAGGCCCGCAGGGCTACAAGGGGGGGTGCCATTTGTGTTTGTCCCAGGGATCAGTATCACCCAGTGCCTGCGTGTGCATGGCCATGGCTGTGGCGGGAGGCTGTGACCCTGCACTGGCTGCATCCCCGGGTCAGGAGGGACAATCTTTGCTGCTTCCCCTGCCTTCGCCCCATGCCCATTGTGAGACAAGGGAGTGACACAGGTGCCTGACATTCTACAGAAAGGTGAGAGAACGATGTTCTCCTTCTCATAGTCCCCTCAGCAGTTTTTATAATTGGAGCTTGGGCTTTCAGTTGTGGGATAATTTTTTATCACCATGAAAAAGTAATGCCATGAAATCAATATTGTGGCCACTCAGAAGGGGGCAGCAGGCCAGAGTGGCTCTGTGACCATGTCAGGAGTCTGGCTCTTACAATCCCAGTCTTGAACTACTCCTCCCCAGGGCATCCATTTCAAGCCCAACAAGGTGGACAAAACACTTTTTTTCATATCCTGAAGATGGAGATTAGAAACAGATCAAAACATAAACCAGCTTTTAGGTATTCCCACGCTGGACTTGCGTGGTCTTCCTTGAGGAAGGGGGTACTCGATGAGGACTTAGCGTGAGGGGATCTAGAATCAGGGCCACAGTGTCTGAAACCAGGTAGTGTTTTCCAGACTGAAAATAGAGGGCTGCACCCACTCTAATCCAGGGTCAATCACTTAATTACTCTTGTCTTTCTTGGATTCTGGGTCTGTAAAATCAATGAAGCAGAGACCCCTTGAGAAATCTTATTCCCGAGAAATAAGCACAAGGCAAAAAACCTTCTTCCTTCCAAAACTCCCCACCCTCAGCCAGGACAGGGTCCTCATTTCTCTCCTCTCACCTGGAAGTGAAGTATGTGACAGAAGGACAGAGGGACGGCCCCGCGTGGGCACCTGGCCACAAAGGCCCATTCCCAGAATTAAAATAAATCCATCCTGAATCTCTCAGGCCAAGCATCATTCACCTCCTCCATGGCCATGCAGTTTCAGTACCTTTTAATAAATTATTTTAAAATGACCTAATTTCAACACGGCTTTCAACATCATGAAAAGACAATTTATAACCAGGATAAACATGAACATGTGGACCACTCCGCTGTGTGGGTGCCATTCTCAGCTCTCTCCGGTCTCTCATGTTATTCTTCAAATCACTTTTTAAGTGAAGGAATAAAGACCAATACATGCAGTTTCAGTACCTTTTAATAAATTATTTTAAAATGACCTAATTTCAACACGGCTTTCAAAATCATGAAAAGACAATTTATAACCAGGATAAACATGAACATGTGGACCACTCCGCTGTGTGGGTGCCATTCTCAGCTCTCTCCGATCTCTCATGTTATTCTTCAAATCACTTTTTAAGTGAAGGAATAAAGACCAATACCAAGTAAAGGTTTTCTGATTTCCAGTTCTGGCCTGAGATGAGGAGCTCTCCTAAGGCTTGTCTGGGGCTTCCAGCTGCTCCAGCCAGCACCAGGCTCCCCTTGCGCAGGAGGCAGTCAGGGTTGGTTAGTGAGGGGGTCCTCTTAGCAGCACAACCTTGGTCCTGGCCACCTCTGTGCCCCAAAGCCTCAGCAGATCTTCGGCGTGATCATGATGGATCTATACGTGGGCCCTGATCCAGGAGGACATGCTACACGCAGGCTTGGTTCCCGCTTTCACCTTTGCCCCTGCTGTGGTTTCAGGAGAAGAAAGATGTTGAACATCTAAGTTGTGATACACGGCTCACTAGAGAGCGTGATCTACTAACCCATAACTAAGGCCGATCATGATGGATCTATACGTGGGCCCTGATCCAGGAGGACATGCTACACGCAGGCTTGGTTACCGCTTTCACCTTTGCCCCTGCTGTGGTTTCAGGAGAAGAAAGATGTTGGACATCTAAGTTGTGATACACG